CTGGACGGGCATAGTGTTTTTCCCCTTTCTTATTTTCATTTTTTTTTTTGCAACATTTTCTGCTTATGTTTTATGTAAAGCCTTAAATGGAGTTTGCACTACTGCAGGACAATGTGAGCGGGAGGGGGGAGGAGGAGTTCGGCAAAAGTTCGGAGGACATGCAATTTGTGTGTTCCAAAGTGGCTTATCATAAGTTTCATTTGCTCTTGCTGCCACTATGTAGTAGTAGTAGTAACGCCCCAATGCTATTTATGACACTGTGGCAAAAAAATCCAATTTTCTTAAATCTTATTTTATATTTTTCGAGCTCTAAAAAAACAGTTTATCTTACAATTTATTGTGGAGAAGTTTCGTGGCTTAAAATCGCTTTAAAACTAACTAAAAAGTATGATTTAATACCAGGAGGATAAAATAATCAAACTTTGGATACAGTTTAACCATTCAAATCATCATAACTCAACAAAAAATAAAGAAATATTAATTCGGAAAGGTGGTTAATGCTAGAAAATCTGTATTATAATATTTGAATAAAAAATTTTAATTTTTTTACGAATGTTTGACAATTTGAACGATGTAACCCCTTATAAAATTTGGAAATTTTTGAAAAAATTAAATTCTTGCCGGACATGTCTAGATCGACTCGCCTCTTAATGCTGATCAATAATATATATGATTTATAGGGTCGGAAATAGATCTTTTCCATTTTAGAGGCTTCTAACTAAAACAATAATACCATTTTTTGATTCGATATTATTTATTTTATATGAAAATTTCATCATCAAATCAAAGCTTAAAAAACTCATAACTAAGCCAAAATATCATTAATTTTAATTCGGAAAGCTGTCCTATGTAAGTTTTTATTAGGTTAATAAATCTGCATACTTTGTTTACAATTTTAAAAGATTCAACTTTTTGCCAATTTTTGACAATTTTAATGATGTAAAATTGTAAAAATTTTGAAGTTTCGAAAAATTTTCGAAATTTTTTTTTTTACCAAACATGACTAGAACGAATCGTTTGTTGATGCTGATCAAGAATATATATACTTTATGGGGTCGGAAAGGAGTCCTTCACTGCTTTAGAAGCTTCTGACTAAAATTATAATACCCTTCAAGTGAATAAATAAAATTACAACACGCTTTTAAATCCATGCAAGGAAAATGAAGCATTTCTTTTTCTTTTCTTTGTTAAGCATTAAGATAGTTTCCTATATTTTAAAGACACTTATTCTCTTTAGTGTGTTCAAAACATACATTTACTGATAATAGCGAAGCTCTATTTCTGCTTTAAAGCCACTGGCATTCAATTCTCTCTGTTATATCAAACAAAAGCCAGAATACAGAACATATTTCATTCGTATTATTCCAACTCTTTGTCTATTTTAGCACACAGAAGACGTCAATGGCACTCTTTTTTTTATTTCTTCCTCTTTTAATGCATAGCTAAGTCGAACCACTAAACAGTTTTAAATTTGCATAAAAATCCGTTTTATTAACATTCAAAGGCGATTCTATCGCCGCTAAATTGAAGAAAAGTAGCTAAAAAGGGCAAAAAAACGAAAAAAGAGTGGAGTTCCAAGCAAACAGAAAATCCTGAGCAAACCAAAGGACCCAGGACCCAGGGCCCTATGGCTGGGGAAAATGCCATGTAAATGCTCTCAGGGCAAGCTGGAAGAAAAATTCCTTTGCACTCAACAAAGAAGAAATAAATAACTTTCGAGTCAGATTAGCCAACTTGTCACGAAATGCAAAATGACATTTAATACCCAACGACTTGGACGAGGACGAGGACGAGTGCGAGGACATGGACTTGAGTGCTCCTTTCCTAGCTCTCTCTCACACTCCTGATGGGCAGCAGCTGCGTTGTCGCAGGACAGGATCCCAAGACGCATGTCGACCAAATGGCAATGCGATACGCGACGATATACATGACTGGACCTGACTTGCACTTGGCATGAAAACATGAGAAATTCCTTAGCCAATGGGCACCCCCTTTCTTTTCTCATTCTCAATTCTCCTTCCGGAGGTTTTCTTGTTTTTTTTTCTGTGTTCTTGTGTTTTCCCGGCATGCCAGAATGCTAGACGACAGCGACATTGTTTCGAATGGCCAGGCAAAAGAAGAAAAATGGCTCTGAAATGCCATCACTGCTATATCCATTCCAAAAAAAAATCAAGAAAAACCAAGAGAGTTGCAGGAATAAAAAAAAAAAGGAAAAGCGAAAAAGTAATCATTGCAATTTAAAGCGGATAATCTGCATCAGACCGAAGCTGTGAAACAAGAAGCGTTCAAAAATAGAATGCGAGAATGCTCTAAAAAGGGTTCCAGTTTAGTGGCAGGACGCGAACGTTGGCAATGCAAATATGCTACGCTTTTCCCCCCCGCCGTGTGCGTGAGTGGACACCATTTGCAATTTTCGCACTCGCTTTCCACTCGCCCCACTCTCCACTCCTTTTCTCCTTTTTTTCTCTTTGCACGCCCAAGGAGCGAGGCAGTCATGCAGATTACAATCGAAATGACATGAAAATGTTTAGTGTGGCGTGTGGAAAAGAGAAGAGAAAAAAAAGGAAACCTCCATGAAAATCGCGGTGGCAATGTCAAGTGGCGCGGCGGCTGCAGCAAGAAAGAAAGTGTTGCATATCTACGGGCGCCAGCCACAAGAAAAGAAAATGGCCCCAGGGAAAATGTGGAAAACGAGAGGTGGCCTCTCAGATAATGTCTGTCCTGCTGAAATCTCTCTCTCTTCCCTTTTCCCTTTCCTCTCCTGAACGTAAGAATAATGTCTTATTTGATTGTGGCCAGCAAATGCAATTTACATTTGTCGGCGACGCTGAAAGGATACGAAAAAAAGGAACGAAGCTGAAATCGATTTATAGATTCATTCAATTCACACACACAACACACATTCAGTACATTTATGCAATGGCAATTCAATTAGCCATTAGCTAACCTGATTCGATGGCAATTAACCCAGTTGCCAAGTGCCAACAGCAAGTGAGCGTGTGAGAGTGAAAAATTGCATTAGTATTTCATTAAAGCAAATTAGAGTGCTAGGACTCGCAGGCAGACTCAATGGAGACTCAGTGCCATTCAAATCACTGTTGCTGTTGTTAAATAAACTCAATCGAGGCATTAAATTACTGCCAATGGCGCCAATAAGCACAAACAAATAACACAAAGTGACGACTCTGTGCTGCTGATTGAAAGTTTTGCAGCGAAGGATGATGAAAAATATTTGCTTGCCGTCAATAAAATATGTACATAGACATACATATACTCTGTGCTGTTTATTGATCAAAATTTGAGAGTCAACAATGCAAAGTATTTTGCTTTTGGCTTGCCAAATATTTATGCTGCTGCTGCTGCTGCTGATGATGATGATGCTAAAGATGCCTTTGCATCCAAGCAATTAATTAGCCTAATTTATGGTAGTTTGCAACATTACCCGATAGTTTGTACTTTTTACAAAAAAAAACTTGCTCCTGCCAGATTTGGCCACATTTGTCAATATGCTAACAGATGTATACATATACATATATATCACAACAAAGCAAATAAAATTACACTGTGAAATGTTGTTCAGCAACAATTATTTGTGAGTTAGCGCCAGTTGTTTGGCGGGGGAGGGAGGGCGTCATAAATCTTGTACAGCTTTCATGGCGTCATAAATTTTAAATGCCATCAGCAGGAGCGCCAGAAATAAAAAGGAAAAACTGTGAGGCACAAAAACTGTGGGGAAAAAAAAACAGAAAGGAAAACCCAAAGCCAATGGGCATGTCTCTTGGATGTTGCTATCCTCTTTTGGCAGAACAAACAATCAATTTATGCACACACAATTTTACCCCTTTTCAACATACATAAATATATATATATATATATAAATTCTTATTTTTTTGCCATGTTTTTCCGCTCATTTTTAAGTTGAGCTGCTCGACTCGCCGTATGCAAATATTTGTTAACTCCATTTGCTCTGAATTAAATATAATTTACATGCATATTTGTTTGCCAACCCAGCCAGTCGGTGGGTTGGTTGGTTTTCCTGCCCTCGTTTTTGCGTGGAAATCCCTTTTCCACATGCCATGTTGCATGCATCAGGGCGCATTAGCCCGTACTCTTTTTTCCTTTTCCATGCCTCTGGTCATTACAATTATTGTTGACATTTCGGCTTAAAAATGAGAAGTGAGTTGCCGCCACAATTAAACGTGCTAATGAAGTGAAATTTTTACTTTTTTTTTGCGCAATTAAAAACGAATTTCGATATCGTTCAAAGTATATGCTATATGTACATGTTTATCCTGGAATTCAGAGATTTTTGGCCTACAAGAAAATTGCATTCGTCTCACTTGCATGCAGTTAATTGTTTCGGGGGGAAAATGTGTTGACAGCACGAACATGGAGTATTCAGAGCACTCTCTGGGCTGTGAGTCATGCCAAGGATAACAGAAATTATAGGGAGTCCTTCCAATTATAACAACTCGAAAGCTAACAAAGATTATACTGGCAAAAGGCACGATAGTTTTGCACTCCATATGACGTCAGTTTTGGGATAAATAAAGTGACCGTAGACTCAAGGATATTACTTTATTTGGAAGCTTAAGAATTAGACTTCAATTTGGATATTCCTATAGATTTTTCACCAGTCTCCCTATAATATTATATTACTGTTAAAATCAAAAAAAAACACTCTCAGCTTTATTTATATCCAGACATTAAGGTTAAGCACCACAATTTGTGTTAATCAACATGGCCAGGGAATAGGAAAAAGAAAACATTAACATAAATTCGTTTCGAGTAATTTATTTAGTGCGACAAAAGCACTTCCTGGCTCACTAATTGCCGCACACAAATCGAAGCTGAATTATGGCCAGTTGCCATTTGACCCGCACTTCCCCTTTGAGGGAACTCTTAACCCACTGCCTGTCAGTTGCCGGCAATTTATGAAGTTGAACAATTTGCTAAACATTTTTCCTCCATCACTTTCTTTTCTTTTTTGCGTTTTGCAGGGCCGCTGTAATCGTGATAAACCGCCGTGCAAATATTTTCATCCACCACAGCATCTGAAGGATCAGTTATTGATAAATGGACGCAATCATCTGGCCCTGAAGAATGCACTGATGCAACAGATGGGAATAGCGCCTGGCCAGCCGGTCATATCGGGCCAAGTGCCAGCCGTGGTAAGTTCCAACGAGCTTTTCTAATACTTTAATTGAATTTTTTCTGCCCTCCCCCCCCCCCCATAAAAAATATGAATATTTATAAGAGGACAGGAGACAGGGGGAGGAACTTCCACAAGACCATGAATATCTGAAATACTCAAACCAGAAGCGAGGAATTCAAAGTGCGCGAAAAGGAGCCAAAGACTGGAATGTTTTATTCATGCAAAAGAAATTAGGGTGGGAGGAAGGGGGAGGTGGTCAGAAGGACCTCTGGGAGTTTATAACAAATCGAAAATTAATTCTCAAATAATTTGCGACATGGTTTTTTGTGTGTGGATATTTCCAGCTAAACGACAGCCATCATTAGGAAAGGAAAAGCAAGCCCCCCATTTTGATTGTTGAAAAATGCATGAATTTTCATTAGAAACCAAAAAAAAAAGGGGTTTACGAGTGCGTGCCAAGCATAATTTGTGCCGAAAGGGTCACTCCAAAGGGCAGTGAAGGTCTCCCAATGGGGTGTCGAGCTATTAGATTGTGAGGCAGGATTATCAAGAGTGGAGGAGTGGGTTAGAGCATAAATAAAACAGATTTTTCAAAGGGGATTTGGTAAGAGAAAAGTCAGAAATCAGCTGTAAATTATGTGTAATAATTGATAATGTAAAGTAAATGGTTTCCCCAGAAAAGTATATCCTCAGACATATAACAAGACACTTTCCCCCTTTTATTACCCCCCAATAATATTATTTCCTTTTTAATGAATGATGAATATCCTATCCTTCTTTTAGGCCACAAATCCCTATCTGACTGGCATTCCGGCCAACTCTTATAGTCCGTATTACACAACGGGTCATTTGGTGCCCACCTTGCTGGGTCCTGATCCCACGGCCGTGGCCTCTCAGCTGGGACCGGTGGTGCCACAGACAGTGCAGGTGGCACAGCAGAAAATACCACGTTCCGACAGATTAGAGGTGAGTTCCGGGCCAATGACCCTTATCCGCCCCATCCGTGGCTGTATATCTTTATATATATATTTACATATGTATTTCCATGGAAGTCAATTTATTGCGTTTTAATTTATGCTTACGTTGTGTTTTTTTTACCTTTATTTAATTGTATTTACCTAAAACAAAAAACAAGAAAACAACAAAAAGAAAGAAAGAAAATTCTTGTTGTTTATGTTTCGTGGCATGTCTTTATGTATTTATATTTCTAATTAGAATTAATCTTAAACTATGTCTGACAAGTATTGCGAACTAAAAACAAATTGTACAGAGTTTTGAGTTCTCTTAAGTTTGCCAAAAGAAAAAGATCAAACCAAAATCAAACTGTATAATTCGCCAAAAAAAACAATAACCAGAATTGATTCGAAAAACGTTTTTCTGACACACATTCGTATTTATCTAACACTGCCAAAATTGAAACCGAAATAAATCACCAACAACCCCAAACTTGATGTTCTCTTTATTTCCTCTGATTTTATAAGCTCTCTTCTATATCTTTCTCTTGATTTTATCTTGGTATTAAAATATATATATATTCGAATTAGTAGAGATCGATCAAGATCGCACCATATAGCAGCTTGGCCTAGCAGCTGCTTTTCAGGTGCTTTATTTTATTGTGGAAGCCGCCCTGTAAATAGCCCAGAAAATTATCAACGAAAATTCAAGAATTCTTTGCACTAATAATTGTATAATTTTCGTAAAATTAAAGGTTTATTTTTTAGCTAAAGGGAAGCTCCCGTTTCATACCATTCTCCAGATTTCCCACTAGATTTCTAGTTGCGACAACTATTTAAAGTCAATGATTAGCAGATTCCAGAATATTTATAGTCCTAGCGATGTTTATGTTTTTCTTTGTTCCCTTTCTTATAGAGATCTTTATAATCTTCCTTATAACATATATAGATATCTATCTCGATTCAGCTCTGACACTGATATACTCGCTCAACAAACAGTCCAAACCCCCGAGCTCCCCTGTAAAAGTCCCTGTGTTTTTACTTTTGTTTTCGAATAATCCTTGCATTCTCGTTATGTTTGTGCTACGTGTTTTTCTCTTGTGTTCCCATTTTCTCGTACTCAAAAAAATGCACCAACCCTTGCAAATTGAAAACTAATCGGCATGAAGCAACAACAAAAATATGACACCAAAAATATTAATCAACAAATTAAAACAAAAATTCCAAGAGGCAAGTACAACCAGCAAAAAACACTAACATGCAACTGTATCGGCTCTAACCACTAAAACTAAAAAATAAATTAATTACAAAAAACTTGCCTTCAATTGACTTGGAATCGAATTGAAAATATATATACATATATATTTTTGCGCAAATACTTAACTTTTCTTTTGATGACAACAAAAATAGTAAAAAGAAAAGAAATGAACTTGTTACTGAATATCCTTCCATTATTTCCAAAAACACACACTCCACACACACACACACACACACACATTTACACCTTCTCCGCCTAAACACACACACACAAACCAACCAAAAAACCAAATAAAAAACCGATAAACACACCACTGAAACCACTCTGAACCACAACTGCTGCCACTTTTGCTATCCGCTGCCAACGCTCAACCTCAACTGAAAACTTGAACCAATCAACCAACAAATCTGCAAATCTCCAACGATGATGATGAATATCAAAAATATATCCATATAATATATATATATACATGATGACATATATATATATATGATAATGACTTATCCAACGATGATCGGCGTGCGTGTGTGTGTGGTTTATATATATACCGAATGAATACCGAATGAATACCGAATAAATACCGATGAATACCGAATGAATACCAATGAATACCGATGAAAATGAAATGATCCTGGCGATGCGATTAATTATAAATAAATCCAGGTGTGCCGCGAATTCCTACGCGGCGCCTGCAAGCGGGCGGAGTCCGAGTGCCGGTTTGCCCATCCGCAGGAGAGCGTCGCCAGGCACGACGATGGCTCCATCACGGTTTGCATGGACGCCGTGAAGGGCAGGTGCGCACGCGAACCCTGCCGCTACTTCCATCCCCCCTGCACCTACAGGCACAATTAAAAGCGGCCCAAACACGCGCCACCGCTGTCGCTGCTGCAGCTGCGGTATGGCTATATACTATATATTTTTCTATACTTTCTCGATACCTTTTCTCGTTTTTTTTTTACAATTTAGCCCTATTTTTGTTATTATATTCTTTTTTATTTTACGTTAATCGTTTTTGAGTGCTGCCTCTTTGATTATGATTTTCGTTGCCATTTGATTTCCTCTTGATTTTCCAGCGAACGTTTTTGGTTTTTCTAAACATGATTATGCCTAAAAATATAGCCACATTTTCACAAACTGATTTGATTGGATATATGAAAGATAACCTAAGAATTGTTTTATTTTTATTGAAATAATAATATATTTGTCAGAAAAAAGGAAAACTTATAGTTTTCTTGGAAAATTGGTCTTCAAATGTCTTGAATTTCAATTTAAAATCTATTTAAAGTTAACGTATAGTTCCTAAACATTTTTTAAAATTCCATAGATATTTAAAGAGATTTGAATTATTAAAACGTGGTTTTAAAATCTCTAGAGTTCTCAAAACCCCACAAATAATTGTTTTAAATCTCTTGAAGCTAAAACCAACTCAAATAATGGCTTTTTAAATATCTAAAAGACTTTAAAACCTCCCCAAAATTAAATTTAAGAAAAATTAAATCAGTTAGTGAAACTAACGCTCTCACCTAGCATTTTATCGTTTTTGTGTTCTCCAATTTAACCTCAACAGAGAAATACAACACAGAATTTTACTCTTGCACTAACACGCCACACAAATAAATAAACATAAATATATATATACTTATATATTATATATACTGTATATATCTAGAGACAAGTATGGCCTTAGGCCAGCCAGTTTTGCTTAGTTCGAGCCATAGTTTTGATTGAATTTGCTTTAAATTCAAAAAACCAGAACTCTCAAATTTCTCTTCATTGATTTAATGATTTAAAGCAAATTTAATTAGAAGTTAATGCTGCATGCAAACAATTTAATTAACTTTATGCAAACACACACACACGCACACACACACCTCTCCAAATCTCTTTACAAATAACTGTTATTCCCCCTAAGTGCCGGAAAAAAAAACAACAACAAATACAACATCGAAAAATATGTAATCGTACAAATTTGTAAAACACAAATTATGCTATTTATTTATGCTGCATATTCAATGCATTTCCAATGGCATGCAATAAACGCTTAAGCGAATTCCGCTCTACTCATCCTTAAAGCAAATATATATAGAAATATATATATAGAGAAAAATACAAATCAATGAACCGAATAATTCTGCCCAATGTAATGTGACACATTATGGATAATGCACTTGTAAAGTTTAGAAACTAAAAAAACAGTTTGAATAAGGGATTACTATTGATAAAACTAGAGGAATTAGCTATAAACTATAATATTATAATAATTATATAAAAAGTAGCAGAAGTAATGAATACAAAAGTAGTGAAAATATGTATTTCTCCCAAGTAAAAATGAATTTCTCTTAATTTTAGAGTAACAACATTCCAGTTTAAATGATTTATGTTTTGTATTATTTTGCGGGTGTCATTGAAATAAAGTCTGTGGATGCATCAAATAAAATTTTATGGCTAATTGAAAATTCATTTGGCTGAACTTAATTATGTTTGTCCAAGGCAAATGAGATGTTCGGCAATCTGGCAGGACGGACAACCGTTGCCATTTAGATGTTAATTTTGTTTATAGATCAATAAATAATTATATATATATTTTATAAGTATAGCGTCCAGACGGAAATCAAACAAACAGGTTTTTCCATTTTTTTCGGCCATAATCCCGGGAGAGAGAGACAGAGTGGGGGGGTTGGGAAAATATCCGGGAACATGGAAAATATGTTGAAGCTCACATAAAACACGCCATAAATGTTGATTTTCGTTGGGCCAAAATTAACATTTATTACAACGCGTTAAAACTTTGAGCACGCAGAGCCAGGGCGGCGGGGAAAATGCGGAGAAAAAGGCCGGGAAAATCGGGCAGACACACGGCGCACATATGGCCACGTACCGGTGAAGTGTCCTTGTGTGTGTGTGTGTGTCTGCCGCCGTATCCTGCGTGTCCTATGCGCCGTACTTAATTCGCGACTTAATTGCTTTCTGCTGGAAATTTATTTGACGCAACAAACAGCAACAGCAACAACGGCAACAAGGACGACACGACGCGGGGCAGATGACACACATAATTGCAGCATAATATCGCATAAAGTGAAAAATTGTTGCAGCATTTTAGGCGTAATTCAATCGGGGGGCTCCTCGCAGAGCAAGGGCCATACGACAAACGTGATTATTGTATGAAAATGTCCTTTGATACTTTCCCAAAAACCACACACACACACACACACACAGTTCCTCCCCCTCTCTCTCTCTCTCCAGAGCAGCTGATAATTGTATTTATGGGCGCTCGTTTAATGTGATTATGGCCCTGGTACAAAAATGAAAAAAGAGAAGGGAATTAAACGCTTACCTTATTGCACCTGTCTACCATGTTGTGTTTGTCCTTTATTTTATATAACGTGCATTATTTTGATATCCCGCAAAATGTTGTTGATATTTTTCACCGTAGCTGGAGGTTATAAAAATGATGTTTATAAGTACATGAAAGTTATAGGATACATATATAAATTATAATCGCAAAACAAAGACACTTTATAGCTAGCGTATTATTGAAGCTTTATATAGTTAAAGATATGAACCGATGCAGCGCTGCTGTTTAATTTTTAATATTTGAAAACTCTTACTTTCCTATTTTTATATTCTTATATCAAGTAGACTTGTTACAAGTTATTAAATAATAAAATATATATTTTTCCCATCTATATTTTCGGCTATATCCATGTATATATAATATAAATCAAGACCCGCATGCAAAGTGAAGAGTTTTTCTGGTAAATCTCTTTGCTTTGATTGTTTTTCCCCGCCCCCAACTTGAAGGATCTTCATATTTTCCCTCAATTTGTAAACACCATAAACCCCGCATAATTTTAGCTGATTTAACCCAACTTATAATCGAGTTATATACCTTGTTATCTCTATCTATATATAAATATATACTGTGTAATTGACAGACTTTACCCAAAAACCACACACACCACAAAAACAGACCAAACACACAAAACTTTCCCTTTGCATACATTTCAATCTGATTTTTCCTCCCCCCCAATATAATTTCCCTGAGTTTCCTGTTTGATAAGCGTTTAAGTTCTGTTTATTATGATTGCTGTTTGGCATTCTGGGTCACCGCAAAAAAAAAAATGAATAAGGAAAATCAAAACGTTCCCATATGTCAGCCGTCGGGGGAGGGAAAAAAAAAGGACTTCGATGTGTGTAGTTCACTGCCAAATATGCCACCTGCCGCATCAAGGACCCAGGGACGACCCCACAAAACTATAATCCCGGCATGTAAGCGTGACAGGAGCCGCATCTCGTCCTTTTCGAAAGGAAAAAAGCCCAGAGGAAAAGTGAAAATCGAGGGGTGCACACACGCAGGAGTCCTGGTTTTGCGTTTTTCTTTCCTTTCTTTATTTTTTTTTTTTTTGCGCTCCCAAACTGACCGAAAATGTAAATGTCAACCTGTACAGGACACGGATACGAATACGGACACGGACACCGAAAACGGACACGAACGACATGGATTAGTCGGGGCCGGAAACGTTTGAACCGGAAAATTAACTAAAAGCAGAGATTTCCATGCCAATGAATTGTCCGCCGCAGAGAGAGAGTGAGAGGAGAGATGCCGCCTGGTTTTTTATGGACTCGAGTCCCCAGGACACACACGCTCATATATGCACACCCCACGAAGTTGTCGCGCCCAAGCGAATTAATCCATTTGTAGCATTCATTGCCAGTGACACTAGCCCAGAAGGCAGGCTTTGCAAACCAAAAAAAAACCCCACAGGACACAGAGATGATGACCCCCTTTTTTGCACCTCGCCGCCGCCCATTTAAATGCAAATTTGTGCACTCTTTCGTGTGACCTGCCCCCGAATCCTTCTTTTCTTTTTTTTTGCCAGTTTATGTTTTGTTTTATCTTTATTTTGTGGTTCTTGGTTATTAGGCGCACATGGGGCCAGTTTTCCCATGGAAAATGGGGGTAAAAGCAGCGCCCAATTGCGGTGTTAAACGCATTAGCATTGAGCTCTGCCCCCGAGAATTTACGACTACGAAAATTGGGGTCGCAACTTTGCCGGGGATTTGAAGCTGTACATTGTTTTTTTTTTGTTTTTAAGCCTACAAAATGTAAGTGGGTCAGAAACTATATCTTTATTTTGCTTTTTGAGTTGTTTATAGTTAAAAAATAATATAAAAATATATATACCAGCAGCAACGATGCATCGGTAGGTATATCGATACATACTATATATATCCCAGTTACCCAACAAGTCCTAAAATGCGAATGTGTCAAATAAAATAAGCGAATCAAATCTGAGTTGTATGTAGAGATGAAAAAATATCGATAGTAATTGATTAATATCGAAAATTTGGATTCAGTTTGGAAATTTATTAGAAATTTTCATTCTACGATATGGGAAAATTTTCACTGTATTAAAGTTTATGAAAATATCAATTTTAATCAGTTTAAAAATAATTTTTGCATTAAAAAATAATTCAAACTTTTTTATTTAATCATCATACTATCGATATCGTTGATGAACCAAATGATGTTTCTGGCAACTTAAAAGTCCTTAAAATCACAGAAAAATACCCCATAAGTTAGCTCATAAGGAATAAGTTATTTATATAAGAAAAGAAAACAAGGCTTTCACACTTTGCTGGCTTTTGCAAGCTTCTTCTTTTTTTGAAAAACAATTCCACTCATACTAAAGGACAAACTAATATGATTTTATGCTTCTTTCCCAAAAAAACAAACTAAATGAAAATTAATCCTAACTTTAAATTAACAATTATTTAAGACTCTTCTCTTCTCTTAAATATCAAATGGAAATCGTGTTTATTTGGATTACCGTTGATTTCTACTTGATTTGTTCATATTTACTCTATATCTCTCTATCTCTTTCTCTCTACGAATATAATCTTTATAAATATATACGTACAATTTGATTTTTTTCTATTTATTTACTTATCGATATCAAAACACTTCCGTACTCTTCTACTATTATGTATTTTTCATCTGTTCGCCTGTGCCAACAACAACAACAACAACAATACACACCACACACAACAAAAACACACAATTGTAACTGCTTCTACGATGGATGGTATCGACACACACAAACACACCCACTACTCCTATACCCACACACACACATAAATATGCACAATATACGAACACGAAACAAACAAAAAACACACGTTTGAAACAAATATTTCCCACCTGCCTGAAAAAAAAAAACAAAACAAACAAAAAATTTATAAAAAATACAAATTGGACACAATAATTAATTATTCATGGGAAAAAAATGTATTTCAACACCACTGTCGCTTGAATAATTCAAATTGGAATCCCTCAAATTTTAATGAACGCATCATTTAAATGCTTGTATATTTTAATAATTTGTTGCATATTTATGACGACTGTTTCTTCCTTAAAAAACTTATTTGATTGGAATTGGAAATGTATTTATATTTTTAAAATTTTAAAATCAAAATTCATTTAAATTGAAAATCAAAAATAATTAACTACTACACAAAATTCCAAAATATTTATAATTTAATTTATAATTCTTAAATTGATATTTTGAACAAATATATCCAAAATTATGACACACACAAAATACAAAAACACGACACACCACACACACACACACAGACCTCACCTGTTACGGCACACCATCACCAGCAACAACAACAATTGCAACACCAGCTGAACAACATCAACAACAACAGCAACGCTGGCGCAGCAGCAACATCGACAACAGCAACAACAACCACAAACAACGCCGCTGCCGCTGCCGCCGCCGCTGCTGCAGCCGCTGCCGCCGCTGTCATGGGCCATCACACACTGGAAGTGGGCAAGAAGCGGGCGGCGGACACAACCGACATGTTCCCACTGGTATTTTTTTTTTTATTTCCTTTCCGTTTTTCGATTATCGAATTTTGAATTTCGTTTTTTTGTTTTTTTTTTTATAATCTAAATTTTGTTATTTTGTTATTTTTTTTTTTCTAACATGTTTGGTTATTTGACAGTTGTTAATTACATAACACGCTTTTGTTGATTGTTGAAAACTGTTTTGCATTTTTTGTTGCATGCCTTTAGGCGGCAAAGAGTTTCCCCAAAAAAGGATCTGCCATATTTTATAGCTAGGTTTAAGTAAAGGTTGTATTAAAGGATTATAGATGCTTTGGTGTAGTTGAAAAGTAAATACGAGAGATGGAAATATAGCAAAATAGCCAAATCAATTAAAATAATGTTTTAAATTAAGTTTTGCAATAATTTATAAACCAATTTGTAAGATAGGTAAGATGTAAAATATTTGTAGCATACTTATGTATGCATTTTTCATAAAGAAAAAGTTTATAGCAACAGAAATTTCCATTTCCTTTTGATTTTTAGACCACACCAAAGCAAAACAAAATAATACCCGCTAGCTCTTCGTAATTACCTCTTAAATTATAACAAACCCAACATGTCCTTATGAAGCCGTCAAAGGAAAATGCTTTCAACTTTCACCTAACCACAGAGCATCATTGGGGCAGCGCACCTTGTCTGTTATTCAGTCACTCAGTCACTCAATCACTCACTCACTCACTTATTCACTCACCTCCCACTCAATCATCCGCCCGCCCACTCAGTTAGTCAGTCGCATGCACATCAAAGTGCCATCAATTAACGTTTATTATCCGGGATGCAACCCCCGGCATTTAATTTACAAAATGAAGTCATTATCCGATATATCAAAAGCGCAAACACACTCGCACAGCCACACTAATCAAAGCACACACACACCTTGCACACACCGCACACTCACACTCCCACACACACATACTTTTCGCAACGGCAAGAGCGAGTTTAACCAATTACACGTGGCATATGATAAATCACAATCACAACACAAGCGAGCACATTCCCTGCCCTGCCAGGTGTTAATTAAAATGATTTAACCGATAATTGCCAAGGCTGTAGCCGTAGCTATGTAACTATGTATCTCAGTATCTGTATCCGTAACCGTCGTACCTTTTGTGGCGGTAACTATAAGTTCTTTCTTTCGCTTCTGCCTCCGCCGCTGATTGCATTTCGCGAGCTTAATTGTTTAAGTGCTTTTCCTGGTTAATTAGCTGAACACGCACCATGCAGCCGACTTCGTTTATCCCGCTCCGTTTTCCGTACATCGTACATCGCAATACATCACCCATACAATACACACACTAGGACTAAGTATCTTGTGTAAACCGTAAATCCCTTCCCTCCGTTTATGTATATATGTATCTGAATAATTTGCCATAATGCCACTCTGTACTGTGTGCCCAGGATATATCCACTAATTTCATTTGTGTTCTTCTCTCCTCTTCATTTTGCTCTCTTCGATTCCATAAACTCTTGCGTTCGTTTCAAAAACTCCACCCTCTACTTCTACTACTCTCCACTACTCACTGTTTTCCGAATCGATTTGAATCGATTCGAAATCGAAATCGATATCGATCAATAATAATTGCGAACTGTGTGTGCTAATACCGATCAATCAAACAATGATAACCCCAACAACAATCAACAACAAATCATACACTAACTGCATAATCAACAACAACAATCGATAAATGCCAAAAAAGATGGATGTTAAAACGGTTGGTTCATTTTACTATGAAAACTTCGTAAGTACTCCAAACTGAATGACAATCGCCACCTACAGTAGTACGCCTATCAACCATAATATATATATATATATATACTATATATACACCATAAAGACTACTGCCTGAATATCCATAACTTGCGATTAAATATGTTATATCCAGAAATGCTACTAACCAAGCCAGGAACGCATGCATTCAAAATCAACCGAATTCAATCGATAAATCGATAAATATGCTTATAAAATATATATATGAGACACGATAATACTATATTAAATTGAGAAGTTGAACAAATAAATCCAATTTGGCAAGCAAACAAAGGGGAATAATTCAAAACTTTTTATAAAGCTTCTATGCACACACTCATAAAACATCAAATTTGATCGGATAAAAGTCACAAAAATACAAATTATATATCCACTATTTAGATGTTAAATGCCAAAGCTTTTACCACTTTTTCCACCAAACTGCACGCACCTTCGATTTCATTTCGTTGCCTACTATAATAGTACTCCGCCTAAGTTTAGATTTCCTTTTTCGATTTCTGTTTTGGATTCAGTTTGAATAATTTTTTTGTTGTATAATTTTGGTAATTCTCATCCTGAAAAATGAGAAAACAAATATAAATTGGCCCAAAAAAAAAAAAAAATAAGAAAGCAAAGCGCAAAAATCTCAAAATTAACTAAAAACGCAAGCTCGTTTATAAGCAATTGTTATTTATATTATGTATATGGTTATCAGTAGAAATTAAGCGGGAAATAAGCTAAACACTATCCTTAAAAACATTTTACTAATTAATTACTGTGTTCTTCTTGTGTTTCTTCCGGAAATTAAAGCAATTCTCTGGCATGGTTCCGTTCAAACGTCCAGCTGCCGAAAAGTCTGGCATTCCAGTTTATCAGCCCGGTGCGACCGCCTATCAGCAGTTAATGCAGCCCTATGTGCCAGTCTCATGTGAGTATCCCCAACAACAACAACAACCACAACAACAACAACAACAACTACATCAACAACAACTACTACAACAACAACAACAACTACTACAATTAAGTAGCGCCATAACAACAACAACTACAACAGCAACAGCCAGTAATAATATGATTAATAATATTAATAATAAAAGTACCATAAACGCTGTAATTGCTAATAATACCAATATAATACCATTATCATCATCGACAACAACAACAACAGCAACAACAACAACATCAGCATTATCATCTGCTAAAGCAAGTACTAATAACAATGATAGTGATCAGGATCACGATCAAGATAATCACCAAGATGATGGCGATCAGAATACCGATCAGGCAGGTCCTGCGGCCACCTCCGCCCCGGTTGATGGTGAATCCAGCGATAATGCGGATCGCAGCGATGCCATTAATCAAGACAATGACCATAATCCGAATCAGATTTCAAATCCAAGTCCCCCAATAATAACTGATTGTAATGAAACAACACGAACAATCACACCAATAACCACAGACACGGCAACAGTAGCAACAGCAGAAGCAGCACAAGACACTGGTGTTCCTGCCGCCTCGGTTACGCCACCGAATGAGGCAACATCGCCACATCCCAATTCGGAGGCATCCACTCTGTACCAACTGCCGATAGCCTTCTGCCTTTGCCCAATGGCGACAATAACAATTACTTGTCCTATATCAATAACAATCTGACCAATGGCCAGCTCAAGTCGGCCCATTCCGACGAGGCTAATGGCGATGCAGACAGCAGCAGCAGCAGCAATCTAGCAGCAGCAGTCAGTCGGGGTTATAGCAAGCATAATGGGGAGACCTTATCCTATCAGCGTTACTCGGTGAATGGTCATAGCACTGGCATCCTGCCCACGCCCACCACCTCTGCTCCAGCGGTGTCCTACCAAAATCAGGCTCAGATTCAGGCTCAGGTCAGCCAGGCTCAAGCCCAAGCTCAGGTTCAGGCTCAAGCTCAAGCTCAAGCTCAGGCTCAAGCTCAGCCCAAGCTCAGGCTAACATGCAGCGTCTTAACTACGCTTATAGCTATAACAACCTGTATAATCCCTATGGCGGTGTAACCTCCTCCATGGTGAACATCACCAGCTCCAGTCCCTCCTATGCCCAGGCCCAGATGCAACAGCAGCAACACCAGCAGGTGCAGCAGCAGCAGCAGCAACAAGTGCAGGCCCAGGTCCAGGCCCAGGCCCAGGCTCAGGCCGCCTATGCCCAACAGCCTATGCCGCCTATGCTGCAGCTGCGGGACTAGCTCCCCAAGCCACTGCCGGTGCCAGTGGTTACTATACCGATCCTGCTGCTCTGGCCAAGGAGGTGGCCCAAAAGAACTATGCCCTCAAGGTGGCCAGCGCGGCCTCTAAGCCGGGAGCCTCTTCAGCGGCGGCTGCCTACACGGGATTAACCCTAAACAAAAGCTATGTGGCTGCAGCAGCTGCCCGCAGCCAGTTCAAGCACCACAACAGCAGGCAGTGTCCATGGCAACCCTGATCCAAATGCAGGCTCAAGCTCAAGCCAGGCTCAGGCTCAGGCCCAAGCCCAGGCCCAGTTGCGTCAAATGACCAGCTCTGGACTGTCCACTCCCGTGCCTGGAACACCCGTTCGGTCGCCAGCCGCTGGAGCCAGTTCTGTGAGTCAGTATCAATCTGCTGCCCTGCTAAGGGCACCCACGTCCATGCCATATGCCCAGGCTCAGGGATATTTCTATCCGGGAATGATGCCCACTGCGGCCTATGCCATGCCACCGACTCAGGCAGCGGCAGCACAGCAATATGCAGCAGCTGCTGCTGCGGCTGCTGCAGCAGCAGCCGCCCAAGGAGGCAGCCAGGGGAGTGCCATGGTACTGAATCCCTATAAGAAGATGAAGACATCCTAGGAAGTGTTTTTGTAATCTAGGTCCACAAAAAAAGAATTGTACTTAAGACACCAAAACCATCCAGAGATGGGAAAGTCACACTTAATTAGATTTAACAACTCGAAGATGACGTAATATTATGTGCCTCAGTTTTTCTCGGAAATGGTATAGTTTCTATACCATAGAACCACCACAGAGAAAAGTGTTTTTTTAGACCTTAGTTGTACCATAGGCCTCATAGCGTTAGGAACGTACGAAACCAACCATGACACGATAACTATGGGATCGAAGATCCTTTGCAATAAGCTGCTAACAAATACTAACCACAAATGCCCTAAACTTGCTGATAAACCGACAGAATTGATGATAGATTTCTTTGCCATTAAGTTAATCGAAAAAAACGAAATATAACCTCAATGTGACTCAAAAGTGTTGCCATTTTTGCACGAAAAACGAAACGAGAAAAACGAAGCTTTCAAAGCGCACGCGAAAGGAGGAAAGAGAAGCAAATGTTAGATGTTAGTACTACTTAAGTTCCTTTTTTCGGATAGCACTTAGTCAACTTTAGTATATAGCAATTGATAAATTATAGACGAGGGCGGGAATAGCGGGAGCCGAAGACACAACGAAGAACTGTGATAGGGAATAAGCTTTTTGCGAACGAAATGTTGATGCTGGGTACAGTTGTGTATGCTAGTTTGCTGCCTGCATATGCTTGTCTGCCATATCGCCGTCCCTGTTAACCGAAATTTGCATAGCCGTCTCTCTCTCTCTCTATTGCTCCCGCTCATCATCCATTTTCCCGCGCTCTCTATCTGTCTCTCTCTTTGTATAACTCTATCGCTGTCTCTGTTTCCTAAAATCTAGCTAGCTAGCTAGCGTGAATGCTGTTGTAATTGTTAAAAAAAAAATTGTTGAGCAACGAGAAATGCGTAACGAATAATGTCTAGTTTATATAGAATAACTTATACGATATATACATATATATATACCTAGCTGTACGTGCTGTATGCTGCTATCCCATAAACGATATACGATATATATACACCCACCCACAGACACTCTCACACACACACACACACTATGTACTCTAACACACATTCATCCTCCACACACCGCCTACAGAGAAAAGGCATAAACATGACCAGGATCGATCTGTAAATCGTATGTCTAGCTTACTAATCAGATATATTACAGTACAGTCACCACTCACGATCACGTCTCTCTATCCGTTTCACTCTAACACACTCAAGACACCCAAAAACACCCGTACACCCGTACACCTTTTCAGACTGTTAAGCCAGCTAAATTGATTTATGTTAATCTTCTGTTATCTCGAGATTTGTTGACCAAGAACTATGTAAAACCTTTTGATTTTTAACGACCTCTCTCTATCTCTGTCTATATATCTTATCAATCAACCCTCTGTCAATCTTCATCTGTCACCCAAATCTATCCCGCCTATCCACCCCTTTCAATGTATTATATATTGTTTCCTTTTTGTAACCGAATTGTTAAACAAATAATAAAATCATTGACAAACAGAACTAAGTTTTTAATGTTAGATCTCGTGTGATTATCATCCGTTTTTTTCCTTACGTTCTTTTCTATGTATTTCTTACGTTGATATTTATATACTTAAATATATATATGTTTTATGTACTTATACACCAAGTTTTTAGTGTAGTTTATTATATAATTTTGGACGTGTGTTCCCTGTTTTAAATGATATAAATGATTGATTGCGAAGGAAGCAACCGGAGATAAAATTTTGCCACTGACTTGCGCACTTTAAGTTTTAGAGTCTCTTCCTGCCCGCCTACCCCGCCTACACCCCGCACCCGCAAAAATACCTCAATCCATATCCGAGAATCCAATCCTATTCATCTTACATTATTATTCGATATATACATAATCTCTGTAAAATTGTTTTTAATTAAAGTACTTCTAATGTCTTACAAGATTTGATGTTTGCCACTAATTCTTATCCTAATTCTAATCCTAATTCTAGTTTAGTTTCGATAGTTTTTATTAATGTTTTATTTGAAATACCGTGTGTTTATCTAAATATATAGTTTACGAACAAAACAAATATATATATCTTATTGTGTGTTGGTATTTTACTTTATTTGATTTACTTATTTCGGTATATTCACCTGATAATTGTTTTTCTGTTGTGCCGCTTACACATCTCACTCCCGATCTAAATGTACACTCCCTTGATATCTAGACATATCAGATCCCGATCCGCCGAACACCAGCATTGCCGAGCGCTTTTGGGCAGAGCACACACACACACACATACACTATCTCTAAGACTCTCTTAATCCCAGAATCCTTGAATCCTTATTATTTGACCAGCCTTGCTATCTCTCACATCCACACGGAAACACTCATATATCGTAGGACTGCCTGACTTACACTATAAACTATAAATATCCCCAATTCGCTTCCCTCACTTGCTTTTTCCCAAAAGAGGGGGAATCGGATCCTTCCTTCCCCAAGAACTTAGCGCCATCTCATCCTATATATGTTTTAGCTCTTAGAATATATAATGGCAAGCAAAATGAGTACGCTAACGGTAGAGAATTAGTTGTAAAATCCTGAATATACTATTTATCTAAACATAAACCTACTACTACTACTACTACTATATATGCCTATGGCCAGCTAATGCTTGGCTTATTCTATATACTCGATAAGAAAGATGCTTACTAAACATGCAGTGACTTGACTGCGGCAAACGAATACGATATTGAATCAACATATATATAAAGCTAATCCAGATAAAAGTATACCTACTATATCCATCATACATATATCTCAATGTCTTGCCTAAAAGTATGTGTCGTATGGTTACTTTTTCGTTAACAAACGTAGAACTGTTGCCGTTGGCCATAAAAAACTCTGCGAAAATGTTTAGAAAACGCTCTCGAACTAAGAACTAAAGCAAAAAACAAAACCAAAGAAATATAAAAACGAAAAAAACACTCACCACTGCATGGCGCCAAGATATAATCAACTTGCATATATTTCCGATCTAAGAGCTCATATCTTTTATTCCGCTTCTTTACCAACTTTGCAATGCACCAGAAAAAAACACAGCAACAAACAAACAAACAGACAGAACAGAACAATATGTTAACAAAACAATGCAATAATATAGCGCAAATGAATGGTCAGTTGACACATTAGGATAATACCATTAAAGAATTAGGTCTGATTTTCAATATACAAAACCAATATGGAAACCAAATAGTAAATACTATTTATGGTAACCACTTAGAGAACCACACCTAAATCCAACATACATATATATCCAAGTGGGCCTTCTTAAATATATATTTATAGATACAGTACCGTCCAATAGAAGTCTTAGTTTAGTGGATTCCACCTAGTTGCCTCCTTTTGATTTGTAGCCTTCAACCGGAAATCAAATCACACAAAACCGTTACACACATAACACTGAGAGAAAAACAGAAATATATAGGCCGAAGCAGGGTTTTCTCATTTGCTATTCACTCTCTCATCGACGAACAAGTATGGCAATCGATTGCATGTCAAAGATGAGAACTATAAAAAGCAAGCTACAAAAAAGAAATGTTTCGAAGAAGGAATTACTCAACATTTAAATATATACATATGCATATTTATGCCGAAGTACACGACACACAAAAACACACATCTTATACACAAGCAAATACACTAATGAATATGTTATATCTGTGCTAACATTAGTCGTATTATTATTATTATAAAGACAAACAAATTATATTGAAATTATATTATATACGTTTTATTGTAAAAACCGTAAAACAAGTTGTTGGCTTCTTTACTCGAACCTTGGAAAGTGATCGAACCAAAACTAACATTCTCTCTTTCTCACCCACTACTAATCCATAAACAACAGTTTGCTGTGCGTTGTCTCTTTCTCTCTCTCTATCTCTCTCTATTTGCTGTTTCGATTAACGATTAACGATTATTTCGATTTGTGTTTATTTGGTGTATTTATGATTTTACGCCTCTGTTGGTATACTCATTTTGCTGAAGATTTAAGTTAAGTTAAGCTTTCTCGATATCGATATCATCGATATCGTTATGTTATGTTTTCTTAAGCGCTTCTTTAATAATGAACCTCGGTGGTAACTGTCTAGGCGTACGTCAATGTGCTCTATGCTCGACTAAATGAAAAACCCTTTTGATTTCCTCACACACACCCACCCCACACACTCAAACACACACACACACACCTTACACCTGATTTTCTTTGGTAGAACTCTCGATACACACCTGGCTTGCTGGATAATCCAGAGAAACATTAACGTATTGTTTAACTAAAGCTGTTCTTGTGTATGGAATTTAATTATATATTTATATATACATATATGTCAATATCCAATATACTCACTAGAGTTAAGCGCTTTTTGTAATGTTATCAAAGAAAATGCTTCGAATCATTTTTAGTTTTTGCCAAACATTTTGCTCTACTTTAATCTAAGACTCTCTCTCTCTCTCTCTTACAAGCAAGCAACTTTGTATCTCTATCTTCTAGATGTAACTCTCACAGGCTCAAGATTTTCTATCTTATCAAAACTTTACCCCTAGCATGATATTTAAATATCTTAAAAGATCTTCACACAACTTTAAGCTTTTCTTTGAGTTCATTACAAAAAGCGTTCGGAGCGCTGCCAAAGAAACCAGTGATAATGTTGTCTCTTTCGAGCATATACTCTATCTACCTCACTCTTAACCATTTGCCCGTTGAAAGCGCTCGTCTTTCTCTATTTATCGGAGCAGTTATCGGGGAAGTACGCTTTGGGGATATAATCGAGGAGAAATGTCCGGTATGGCAATAAATATCGATCTTTGCTAATTTCAATCGTTAAAATTAAGATTTCGATTAATAATAAGTAAGAAAAATGCTATTTTGTTAAGAAATCAACCCTATCGATATTTACTGCCATCCCCAAATACCTTCTGCTGTTCGACCAGAATTCATGTATTACTTTTAGTTAACCTCTAATTTATTTGTACTTTTTTTGCGTTTTTCTTTGATTTTCCTATCGTTGTACATGATTTGTTTTTATTCGAGATTCTTTCGATTGGACCGTAATTTGTAATTTTTCAGCATGTGCTCAATGAAACAGAAACTTTTTGTAGCAAGTATTCCGATATGACTATTGAGTATGATATATCACGCAGTGACGTTGCAAGTGGCTGTCTCTTTCTACCCTCTATATATACGTATCTCTCTCGCAATCGCTCTCGCTCGCTGACGAGATCGATATAACTACTACTACTACTCGTACATTGCGTTTGTTCACATACAACATACTCGTATATAACTCGTGTATGGCTTCTGAGGCATGATATGGTATGATGGTAAAAGCTATATGAAAGCACTTCTAAGGTAAGCTGGTGCACCGCCCCCGCCCCCTAAAATAAAGAGAACAAAAAAACCAAGCTTTTGTTTACTACCCTCCAAAATAATGGTATTCTTATAATTGATACCTTGCTATATAGATGCTAAGTATGTCACCATTTTCTTTATAAATATTTGATTTTTTCGTGGTAGAAATTTTGTCCCTTACCAGCTTTGATTTAGAGGAGCTAAGGAAGATTGGAGATCATGAAGACATTGAGATTTTCTTATATAATAGATCCCACATCCGATCTGCTTAGCTCCTCAATTCACACATACATTATATACAATACACTTGTTGCCCCATGAAAATGTTATTAACATGTGACTTTTGTTTTTTTGTTTTTTTCAAACCAACTTTTTTTCCTTTCTTTTTCGTAACAGCAGGATATCAGATAAAGATCTGCAAAATGTAAAATGTTTGACTGTTTGCTGAAACATAAAGGAGATTGGTTTCTCCGCTCACACTTACACACAAAAATTTAACCAACCCACACACACACACATTTATATAAACACACACCCACATTTAGTTAGCAAAGTTTGGTAGTTGCGAGAGAAGCTTTCTAGGTGAAGTTGCTTTTGAAGTCATCGCTTGAGAACGAGAACATCTAGTGCCAAATAGAATAACGCTTCCAGAGCTGGAGAATCCCGAAGCTATATAGTCCAGAGCCCTACACACACACACACACCACACAACCCAAAAAATAAAACAATCACTTAAAACCAAATCAAACACACAACAAGGCAAACTGGTAAACCCAAAGATCTTAGTGAAAGTTTTCTTGCGTTTCTTTCCCTTTTTTTGGATATTTTATCTACGCCCACCGCTCGCCCCTAAGCCCTACATGTATTTTTCTATCTACCATACATATATTTGATTGACTTTTGCAGGCTTGTTTGTGTATATTTATATGTAGTAAGTATTTGCCTTTGTTTCTGTGTGATGATGATGATGTCCTGTGAGGATTGAGCGATTGTCCCTGCTTGATAACCGAACCGAGCTTACCCTACCTTTTGCCCTCTGATTTATTTACCTCTCATTTCCAGCATTTAAGGCTGCCGCAGTAACAAAAGTTTGAAATGCGCTTCGAAATGCAATTACTATATTATACTATATATAGCTGCTGCCCAATGAGTTTTAATTTGTTTAATCATCTTTTATGTTTTTTCTCTGCTTTTTCAGTTTCCGCTTGCCATGGGCTTAAGCCTGCGCTTGAATGCTGTTTATATATATATTTTTAGTTAAAACCTTAAAACCCTGTTTATTTGCAGCATCGACTAACCCCACCAAAAAAAAAATACAACCCCAAACCGAACCCGAAAAAGTATGCTACACTTTTATAATTTGCTAATTTGCCTGCCGCATGGCCGCCCGACGCCATCGAGCTTATAAAAATCCCCGAAAAAGAAAAAACCAGACCGAACCGAACTGAACCCGACTAATCTACGATAGTTTTAAGTGCGTTTTGCCTTTTTGCATATGCGAAAAACAGCACCAAAGTTGGGTTAAAACCAAAAACAAAAAAAAGGAAACTTTTCCGCCAGCAACAAGTTAATTACACAACCGGACAAAAGGGGTGGGGCAGGGGGACTGTCTGAAAGCCGTAATTACAACACGAAAACATTGTTATTTTAATGGGGAGGCGTGGTGTCACACATTTACATTTATTAACTCGTGTCCTTTGGGGGCCGAGGAGGCGCCCAAAACTTTTATTTCCTTCTCAAAGCTTTCCTTTTTTTTAATTTTTGTTGTCCGAGGCTTTTTCCAACTCTATTTGCATAATTCGAAATCAAGGCGAAAATTACGGACATTCAACGAGGTGGAAAGTTGGTTTCGGTTTTGTTCTTCGCATATGCAGCGCTTACGCTTAACTTTTAAGTCTCTCTCTATCTGTTCTGCAAACTAATTAATTTTCATTTATCTTTAGTGAAAGTTTTATGAATACAAATAATTATTTCCTCTAATTTTTCTACATTTTTTCCACATGCTAACCACACACATGCGCAAATAAAACAAAAATCTCAACAATAATCTATGAAATAATATTAAAAACATGAAAACAATGTTCTCTCACCATTTTGCATGCAATACATATATATTTATAAATATATATATTTTTAACTTATGAATAACAAACATCACGCACGGATTTGGATCAAAAAACAAACGCTGCATGGAAACCAAACAAAAACCGAAATTAAAACAATTATCACCCATATATATATATATATTTCTATTCATTCTTATCACCCAAAACACATGCTCACACTCTATACACTATATATTCATATATTTATATTTTCTGTACAAATATTTAACGCCATGCATGATTTTGTTGGCCGCGATTAGCGAGTCCGAAAATTCCCCTGAATGCCTCCTGTGTCATCTACACGGATGCCAGCGGACAGGTACAGTCTGGCCTGCCTAAAAGCGTTCTGACCCGCATGACCTTGCTCCCCATTTATATATATATATATAATATATGCTAAGTTTATTTTCATTATTATTTTGAAACCTTGACTGGAAATAAAACACAAACTAGCAGCAAGTACTCGTGGACCAGAAATGGTGGGTGGGAATCCCCTTGGCCCATTTCAGTTAATCAAATTAAATGCCTGGCCGCTCCTCTTCTCAGACTCAGAGACTCAGGTCACAGGAATCGGCAGCGAACAAACAAACGGGCAAAAACAAACAAACTGGGCCAAAGGCGTGGCCGAGACGGTGATGTCAGAGAGGAGCTTTGAGACATGAGAGCTGGACACACCTAGGGGTGTCATAGCTGTTAGCAGTTGTTTGTTTAGCACACACACACACACACACACACTTACACACACACACCCCTCATTGACCAGCAACACCCACACTGATTCCTAGAGATGTTACCTTATATATATAAACTCTGTATATTCTCTCAATATATATATATATACATATATATATTTCGATATCGTGTAGCCCAACCGGAGCGGGGCCTCTTGTACACTCAGTGTCCGATGCTAGTGAACGGCACCTTTTACATAATTAGGTAATTAGGATACTCCCACTCTTAATCCTTGATAATAATAATTCCACCCCCCTTCGACGAAGCTTCCAATGGCCGATCTTTTTTTTGTGTGCTTAGCTTTTGTCCTGGCTTCTAGCTTTTCGTGTGCTTCAGTTTAGCGAGATATATACATTACTATATATATATAGCAAATGAGCTTTACACGGCAGCTTTTGATTTTCTTCCCCTCCCCCCCTCACCGAAATAAGGCCCCTCGCCACGATCCGATCTGATGATGGTAAAAAAGTATTAACCCCCATCTTTTACGATCTCTCTTTCTCTTCTCTCTCTCTCTCTTCTCTTTTCTTATATTTCTAGTGCCGCCTATTAGGATATGTAATTGTTACCGCCTAGTACAGCCCCATAGAACCTAAGAAAAAGCAATCAGATCAATCAGATCGATCAGATCACAGATCATTTTTGAGTTGAATTCAAGCACAGAGATACGAGTGAGTCCATCCTTAGATAGCCATAGCTACTGGCTCCTTCAGGCGCTTCGCTTTCGAAGCTTACCTATTTTGTTAGCTTCTTGGCCAAGATTCTTCTTCAGTTTCAGAGCGAATACTTGCTGCTGCTTGCGCGGTGTGTTTTATTTCATGGCAATCTTTATAAACTTTATTTCTAAGCTAACACAAAACACGCATAAGATATATAATGTATATCCCAACAACCTGATCCCCTCAAGAGACAAAAGACAGAGATTCAGTGCCCGTTTTTTTTCTTTATCGTTTCGCCATATATATGTACCTTATGATTTACACTCTACCGCCTTGTTTTTTAGATTACTTAAGTGAGGGAGAAAAAACTACTTAGCTTAACATACGAGTATCTATATAATTTAAAATGTATCATGTGAAACCGATAAGATGACATATACCTACTACCCATACCCACATATATATATATAAATATATATCTCTAGTTAGCTCTATTAACTACGACTAACATCTGGAATTCCACCCAACAAACATCAAGCAATTGTAACACCGAAAACGTATTTATTCTAACCAACCATTAACCATTCTAGTGAACCATTTCGATATTATAAGAGATATATAACTAATTTGTGCTCTTTTTCTTTTCTTTTTTCTGCTCTTCTCTTTTTTTCGAAACCGAAAACCGATGAAATAAATATATATATCAAAAAAATATCAACTCCCCCGCCCCCGAATCACACACAAAAACCCAACATACTATTTATGATTTCCTGAATTGGTTTCCGTTTGCATCCCGCCATATCCAAATCAAATACCGAAAAATATATATCTGAAACACACACAAAACAAACAACAAAACAAATTCCATGACCAATCTATATAGTTACTGGACACCCTCCCGGTGTGCCAAGATTTTAATAGATCTATGTGCAGTCGGTTAAATTGTAGATTCGTTCATTTAACTGAAGGTAAGTGCATGTGCCTAAGTTTCTTCCTTTCCCTCAGTTCACCCTCTACTATCTGTACTCTATATCTCTATATCTTGCTATACTCTCCTCCCCCCTCAACCTATCCCGATCTCTTGGGTTCAGTTCCACATCTTCTATATCTTGAAACTTGAACGCTTTTAGTGCTTTCTCCTCCTAGACACTGTTGAGATGATTTCCGATTTTAAGCCTAAGTTGTAGTTAGGAGAACACAACCAGTAATATTCCGTTTAGTTTTGCTCAATTGGCTGATGATGTCTTTGTTTTGAGAAATGTAAAACTATTCAATTGATTTATTCTTTCCCTTATTTTTTGTTAAGTTTAATAAACTTGAGTTTTGGCTTTCTGTCAAGATAATTACACCACACAAAATACACAAAAGTATGATGGAATATTGTAAAGAAGCAATATTTGCGAGAGGTTTCTATAACCGGGCAGCAAAAGTCAAGTGTTCCCCCTCACGTTCCATACAAGATCTCATGAGATTGATTTGTAATTGTCTGAGAGTCAGCTGCTGTAAAAGATCAATACTTTATTATTACCTAAAAAAAAAAGACTTGAACAATTTTTGGAAAAGCTTTCACTGTTTTCTAATGCCAAAAAAATACCAACTTACTAGCCTGCGCCTAGTTCTACCTGTGAGTTACTAACGTGCCGCTCTCTCTCTCTCTCTCTCTTATCTATCCCACCCCAAACGCTTTCCAACGCCCCCACGCCGACAGACGACAAGGTCGAGGTGATTGATCAACGTGTTGCTGTCTGCCGCGATCATGCCAACAGCCAGTGCCGCCGCAAGCAGTGTAAATACTACCACATACCGATTGTCCTGCCGCCGGCCAACATCATGGCGGCCATGATCACCAGTCCCAGTGACCAGCAGGCGGCGGCGGCAGCGGCAGCGGCTGCTCTTCCCAATCCTGCGGCAGCAGCTGCCTACAATGGCGCCAGCAACTTGATCATCATTGAGCCGCAGCAGCATCAGCAGCAGCAGCAACAGCAGCATCAGCAGCAGCAACAGCAGCCCCTGCAGCAGCAACAGCAACAGCAGCAACAGCAACAGTTCAGTTACCACAGCAACAGCAACAATAACAATTACTATCACAGCAATGCCAGCAACAGGCAGCACAGCAGCACGCAAGCAACATGTATCAGCAGCAGCAGCAACACTCGCAGCAGCAGCACACCATCACCTACCACTGCAGCTCCCCCTACTCGCCCTCGTCGGCCTCCTCATCATCCTCCTGCTCGATAGCCACCTCGCCCACGCTCTCCTCGGCCACCACGCTGTCCACCACCTCGACAGCCACCATGCCCACGCCCCAGCAGCAGTATCCCCAGCAGGCCACCTTCCTGAAGGCCTCACCGGCCTACTACACTACAGATGCCACGCCCACTCTGGTGCTAAGCAGCGACTACAACTCGAACTGCATCCCAATTCAGGCGACGCCCTTCATCTCACTGCAGGCGGCACCGCAGCAACATCTGCTTAAGTATACCGCCCAGCCGGCGCCGCCACAGCAACAGCAGCACGCCTATATGGGTCACCATTATCCATCACAGATGGGTGCAGTGGTGGCCACCACTGTGGCTGCCATGCCAGCCACCACGATCACCGTAGCGGCGCCGGCAACAGTGGCAGCACCATCGACCTGCATCTAGGAGGGGGCTTGGTTCCTAGGAGGATCAGGAGGCGACTCCATTCATTTAACCAGAAGCATCGTATATTAAGTCAGGGAAAAAAGCGATGTGTGTTTGTGAAATCGCCGGAGATTTAAAAGAATTAATTGGGGAAGTCAAAGGAATGCAATGGAATATAAAACATAAAAGTTTATGAAACAAACAAATAGAAATTGTAAAGATCTTCTGTATCTATACATCATTGCCTACTTTTAGACTGTCCTAATTTAAGTTTCAAATCTCCTGCGATTTCCAAAAGCACACCGCGTAGTCGTTTTTTAATTACAAGTTTTGTCACCTACCTAATTCATTGGAATATACTCGTTTTTGTCAACTCCACACACGTCACCTAGATAACTTATATTGCATATATATTCTTCACAACCTATGCCACACGATACGTATACCAATCATAAATATACCCAGTCTTCAAGCTGAAATTGGAACAAATCAAAAGGCAAATGCAACACTTGGCTGAAGGTCTTAAGTCTAGTAAACAGAGAAAAACTTCAACAATCACATTCTAAGAACATTAACACACAAGATACAGCAATTGAAGTTGAAGTTGATGAAAATTTAAGGTTGATACAAACTATTTACAAAAATAAGAACCGAAAAGTACTATTTGGGGGCTGAGAGGTGATAACTCTGCAGAACTCTTTCGTACGTATAGCAAAGACTTAAAGGTGTAACATTCGGTTTACACATCAAGTGACATGCATTAGAGGGAAAATATTGAGTGACGACTCTACACAATATTACAAAAACCGAAATGAAAACGAAAATAAAACAAAAGAGTGTTGTTAAATGCAAATGAGAAACAAAAACCAAGAAAATTAGCAATTAAAAATTGAACTTAATAAGTGACGGAGAGCGCAGTTGCATTAAAATTAGTTAAAAACTATTTTAAACTCTAGTGTTCCATATTTCAAAGCAAATAAAAATACCGGTATATAAAAGTGGATAAACAATTAGTGGAGGAGTGTTAATATTAGCTAAGTTTAAGCCTGAAAAACAGTGCAGTTCTCCATGGCAAATAGTCAAAATTAATCAAAACCAAAATGGAATCTACATAGGCCATAGGTAAGCAGCAAAGAACAACTAATAATAAATTCATAACAATAACAATAATATCGGTAACGATAAAGATAACGATAACGATAACGATAGCGATGAGAGGATGAAGATGATAAAGTACAGTCACGTCCTATTTTTGCAACAACGATTTACTACAAGCGAGAGTCAAACGATCCAGATGTGCATACGGAGATTTTATTAAGCAGAAAAGCAGAAATCAGATACAGAGTACAGAAACCATAATCCTTTTTTACATTTTATAATAACGATCAAGATAAATCAGCCGAACTACAGCCAGAGAAGCCATATTTTTTATATACAAAGGAAGCAAAGAAAAAAAACAACAAACACACTGATAAACAAAATCGAATGCGGTGAAAACCCGCTAAATTGAATCAAATCTAAAGCGATAAGCATTTTTTGCAGCAACAACAACAAAACAAAGACGGAGACTTTTTTTAAAGTGTATCATTTAGCTGAATTCTCTAGTAAAAGAAATGGCCCCGAGTAAGCTCACGCTGAAATCGAAATTGAAATCGTACTATCTATATATACATATATATATCTCTTCCTATGCAAACCGATTTGTAAGCACTATATATGTATATGCCATTGCCCACTATATGCGACTTGAACTTATTTCCCCATAACGATTTTGTTGTAATTAAGACGACTTGTAACTTGATTTTTAAACACACACACACACTCGAGAAACTTGTATTTGGAACACACAGAATAACAATTACAATAAATTTGCAGAATGGAAACTAATTATTATATATACAAGCAAGCATACGTATATACACTATATGTATATATACTACATATATATTTATGTCTGTACACGTATATATATATATACATTAACACAAATATATATATATATATATTTACTAAAGGCAACTAAACATGAAATGTGATCTTTTAAAGAAACAAAATGAAAACGAGAGAGGAATAATAATTAAACATGGGCAGTAATGGCAGAATAAAGGATATTAAGGGAAGCCACTGCTAGCAGGATAGTTAAAGCATATTTTTAAATTGGTTCCATCTCGAGGCAAACGTACGTACGAATATCTCCATTCAATAACGAATAACACCAAATAATACTCGACATCTAGCTAATAATTGTTCAACAATAACAGATTTACCTACATATACATTTAAGGGCTGGCTATAATATACGGAAATTTGTTTTCATCATTGCAATGGTTACTATCCACTATCACTATCACTATCACCTGGATCCCACTCTCTATCTCTCTAACTTTGACACCTTAACCTAATCGTAGTACTCAACTTCAGCTCGCTCTCTCTTCGAAGCCTCCGCAAAGACAACTTACTCGTACTCCCCGTACTCTCCAGATAAGAATGCCTAATAAGTTTCCGTCCATTATAAGCAGACCTTAATTCTATGTGTGGCGACAGCAGAAGTGGAACGAATAAATTACAAATAAAATTAACAAAAAAAAAAAAAAACAAAAACCCTAAACTAGCTAACATAAACAAGTAACATAAATGATAAATGATAAATTATAAACACACATACTCGTAGATTCTCAAGAAAACTAAACAAAAAACAACTCGTCGACATTTTAACAGTTACTAACATTTATTATAATAATAACAACGACAAAATGAGTAATACAATAAGCTGCAAAATGGCAAACAAAAATAAATCAAGTTTTGTGTAAAATAATGAATATGTTCTTTAAATAACACACAAAAAAAACAAAGAAAAACAAAAAAAAAACACAAGTTTAAAAAATGCGAAAAAAAAATGGAAATCAAATAAGTGGAAATGAGAAAATCCTAGTTACTAAGCAAAACTAAACTGCATAAAACACATATAGAGACACTATAGAATCATTGTACCATAAGATATTTCAAATGAAGTGAATTCTGTTCGACTTGACATCTCCCCCTAAGTATGTGTAGACGCGCATGTAGAATAGCACGAGTTTGTAAACTAGAAACGAAACTTTTATTTGCCTTAACATCAAAACCAACATACATATATACACCAATATATATATATATACACATTGATTTCGATGCGATCCTTTCAACGTTCTGAATAATAGTTTTTCACTTGACGCGTGTACATGACGCCCGAGCATAAGAAACAGAAACTATAATCAATAAATGAAAATATATTTCTGGGAGAGAAATAGAAATGGAACAGAAAGGGGAGAAGAAGAAGGGGTTTAATGTAGTTATGTGTAGAGTCTCCTTCATTGTAAGTCATAGTTATTATTGTTAATTTTAGTTTATATTTACACATATATATTAGATCATTATGATTATTAATTGTGAATATGATGTGATGTGTTTATTGAAAGAAAAACAAAAACGAAACTAAAACGAAACAAAAACAAAACAAAAAGATACAATTACTGAATGTTGCAACGTAAAAGAAAAACTAAAAATTTATTGTACTACTGAAAAGAGAGCAGTAACAGGAGAATTAAGAGAAACCCTATTGAGGAGTGTAAGGAAAGTTCATTTTACTCAAGATCAGATGGTAAAATCATACTGTGGCATTACACTATGATACACGGCATATGTTTGTACGTACTGTAAGTAGTTATTCATTTTTGTCAGGTGATATCAACGAATTTTTCGCTATGTTCTTCACGCAGAGATCGATATCGAACCCTCTGCCCCACCCCGCCCTCGATTGTCCTATCTCTACTATATCTACATATATCTCGTATCTATATTGTTTTTTGTACTTCAGTTAAGTTTCTCTATTTATATATTATTTGTCCGTCTTACATCGTTTTATTTTGTGTTTGTGATACTCGCGGAAGGAAGGAGGTCTAGGAGAGAATAATTGTTGTTCGTTGTTTATATTTTGTGTTCATATATATTTTTGTAGTTTGTTTTATTTTTTACAAATATACATTGTATTAAACATATATTAAATATACATTAATGAACTAGTATATACAACTTAACTATACACATATACAAATAAAGATGAATTGGAATAATAGTTCGTAAGATATGGAGTTTTTGGCAGGAAGAGATCCCCCCAAAGAGGGACAGAATATAAACAATGATGAGAACAAGTTTGGGTGGGCGGAAGCGACCCTCTGACGAATGATAATTGATAGGGATGATACATATACTCCTAAAATAAATATAAAAAAACTAAAAAAAAAACAACACAAAAAAACGCAAATTTTTTAAAAATATTTAATAAACAAATCATTATTACCTATTATTATTATTATTATTATATTTATTATTATAATGAGAACAAATTTAGTTATTATTCATGTAAAGAACGAACAAGGAAGGCAAAGCAAAGCGAAAACAAATCTTGCAAAATGCAACAACAACAACAACGAGAAGAAGTCAGAGATGAGGGAAATATGATGAAAATGAATAAGAAGCTGGCAAAGAGAGAAAGGATGACGAATAATGAATTATATTGATAATGAAAATACAACATTTAAAGTTATTTAGCAGTAAATGGGAAAAGAAAATTTAAAAAAAAAACAAACAAAACAACAAAACATGAAAACAACAAACATCAATGAACAACAACAAAAACAATGAAATACAATAAAACACAAGAAATAAATTACAAAAAAAAGAAACAAGACTTTTCATTATTGGGTTTATGGGGTATTATAAGGTTTGTTGCCTTTTTACAGAATATAATCTATAAAAGTTTTTATTATAATTATAAATAATTCTTAATGATGCTATGGTTCGTAATCAAGGTTATTAGAACTTTAATTGAACTAAAAAAATGTTAGGTGGAATCATAACCAGAAGCTAATAATAAATCATAAAAAATACCTATAAATAGGGAAATCTAAATTCTCCAACGTCTGATGATAACTAAAACTTTCCAGGTACTCTTGTCAACTGTTTTGATGAAAATGCGTAAAGGTAAAGTATGAGCATCCTGCAATCTGTCATTAGTTGAGATATTGTTGATGGCCGGGACTTATGTCGGCCAAGAGGGGAATGCATCTGCATATATCTTCACCTAAGAATGCTCACATCCCACATGCATTACTTCTGCTTAACCGCAGAGCCAGAAAAACAAAGAAGGCCAAGCCGACAAAGGGAACTTGGCTCTCAAATTTGCTTTCCCCATTTTTCCTCTACGGGGGGAATGGGAAACTAAGCGTATGCATGCACACGTAAATTCCCCAAGTGCCAGTCAGGAAAACTAAAATGAGAGAGAGAAAAAACACAAAAAAGGACGAAAATAAAAGTGGAAAAACCAAAAGGGAAAAGTACTGAGGGAAAACGACATGAACCTGGCACATGGCAGTGAAAAATGTGCAGGAAAAGTGAGGCGTGTGTGTGTGTGAGCATGGCGTCGAGGCAAAGAAACTTGCAATTTTCCTCTGCATTTTTCCTTGCAAGTTGGCATCCTCCCACACACACACACACACGCACACACACAGCAGAGTGCCACGTAAGTTGTCTATTTCACACACCAACGCGCACTGCATCGCTGGCTCGGTTGCAGGATGCTGGTCCTTCGGGGACTCCCCTTTTCGATGACTTGGTGGCCATATGGTGTCGTAACCGTTGCAATTAGTTGGCAGCGGACACAAAATATTGCCCCCCCGACACACGTCCCCAGAATTCTAACCAAGTGTAATTAATGGGGGCGGATTATTGATATCGAAAAAGGTGAAAATTGTCGGGTTGATAGTGCCGCATTGTTGAAAAATTGCCAAAGATTATTACTCAACCGTAAGAGACTAAGGTGCAGAAATGGAAATTCTTTGCAAGTAAACTATTTCTGACAGGAAGGAAGGTAACTTTGGAAGTCGAAGTTTGTATTCTTTTAAGATAATATAATTTAAATCAATCATAACTAGTTTAATTTAATTTATTTATTAATTTTTTTTGAGAAGCTTTTTGTGTAGTTTTTACTAGGTTAACAAATCGTCATATTCAATTTAAAATATTTAACAATTGTTTCGAATATTATATTAAGTTATAAGGATTTATAATATAGATTTGGAATTTAATATATAATATTTTGAGCACTTTGTGTGCTCCAGAAGATCTTGAAAATCTCAATTTTTAAATCAATATTTATACTTTATATTATAATTTTAGTCAAAAGCTTATAATGTATGAAGAAGTCATATCAGACCCTATATATCATATATATTCATGATCAGCATCGACAGCCGAATCGATCTACCATGTCTGGGGAAAAATTTTTTTTTAATTTTTAAAATTTTATAAGGGGTTATCGTTAAAATTGTCAAAAATTTAAAAAATTTGTTTT